CGCGTGTTCGGCGAGCGGGCAGTTATCCTCGAGAGGGGAGTCCTTAGTTTTCATAAGTGTGCATTAGCAGTGGCGCAGGAATCGCTTGTTAACATTTGGATCGGTGCGATTTGGTTGTCTATCTCGTTGACGAATTACTTGAATCATATCTCATATATCCCCAGTCCACAAACAAGTGCAACGATCTGCTAAATCTATATTCGGTGCTGAGGTTTAATTTGGCCAGAAGAAGTCATCACGTGGGAGGCACACATGCCAAAGCGGGGAAGCAGATGGCCGAGTAATCATCACGTCTAATTCCACCACCGCACGCCGGTTATTAAACAATTAGGGCACAACCTCCATCTGAATGATTTCTGGTACGAACTCTCACTCCTCCCCCAAAAATGCGACTGCACAGGTAGTCGAATATTCGCTATCCCACTTACTCCACCGAATACATGGGCACTGGAACCCTTCGTTTATCCCCTCAATGCTGCTAGCGTTTCCTATCCCCTAGAGCAAAATTTTGCACTATGTATATGCATTCGGGCTCACTAACAGATAGGGTATGCTTCCTCAAACTGACTTCAAAATACATCTGCATAAATTATTAATAATGTTGCGTGCAGTTCTTTGTGAGAAGGACAGAAAAGTAGAGATTATAAGCATCCGGGCCCCGATGCTTACAGTTGCCGTCCCTCGACGTGTTGGTGTACAGAAAAGACGATAGGGAAATCAAAACAACGGTTTACAGGAAGGCGACAAGTACCTTGCGTATGCTGAGTTACCTCAGCAACCACCCCGTCTCGCACAAAAGCAGCCGCGTGAGAAGGCTATATCGCCGCGTAGAAACCCACTGCAGAGAACCAGCCGACCAGAAAGCCGAGGAAACTTTTCAAAATGAATAGTAATACTGGCACATTCATCGAGAAATGCAGACGAGGAGCCAAACGAAGAAACTAAACCGGACAGCCAGAACCGACACGATGGCGAGCAAAAACTCATATTGCTGGCGTTGTGGGAACCTGCCCCCCCCAGCGCTGCCATGATCACTCATCTGGCTGCTATGTCAACGTGGCCAGTCAGTCGATTTTCGGCGCATCGCTGATTACTGGTTCACACTGGACTCGCCTCGCCACTTGTGATGACTGATCTACTAAGCATGAATTGGCAGTCAAATCAGTCAATCGATTTTTGCGTACGGCTGATTACTGATATGCGCCGGATTTGTGGTCAGCGCTGGCAGAAACAATCTTCACACTAAGTCTATTCAACAGGCAAGGCGGAACTCATTAGGCCTTTCGTCCCGGTGCGAGGCGGACGCGAGGCTGCGGCACTCTTTATCTCGTTCCTCATGGTCGAACTCCACCCCAGGTCGAGTCAACTCTTCTGTTAATTCTTCTCCAACTTATTCTGTACAGAATACAATCTCCTTCTACCTTGGCTTCTATCTTCTTTTAAGGAACCGGGCCTGGAAGTAGAAAGGGTTTAACCGGTTTAGCCTTAAATCCTTTGCGATAGCGTATCCGAATAATTCGCTCGAGTGGTCAGCGAATTTAGGATTGGCGTCGCTCAAGCACCGAAAGCGACAGTCCGCGGACATCTTAAGCGGCCGAAAGACCCAGTACCCGCTAAGCAAACGTCCGGTGTCATTTACCGCATCGACTGCCTTTGTGGTCAAGCCAATTATGTTGGTGAAACCGAAAAACGGGTTCTAACGAGAATGTACCAGCACGAACAAGCCGTGCGACGGAAGGACAAATTTTACTGGTATCCGCCCACGCATTCACGCCAGGGCATGGTTTCGACTTCGAACGTGTGCGAATACTGGGTCAGTCAGACGACCGAACTCCATCCCTACTACAGGAAGCATGGTATTCCCGCGCGGATTCGATTAACAGGCATATCTTCCTGATGAGGCGGTTGCGCTGCCTGTTGACAGCTTGCGAGTATTACGCGGTCATTCCACAATGACTGATGGACTTCCGCCTAAATATTTCTATGAAATTTAAGTTTGTGCCTGTAAACGATTAAATATACTTATCTACTCACAGTTTGAGATTAATTTCTGAAGAAATTAGAAAGCTCAGATTTGTCTAGTGTGGGACTTTGACTCCTTGCGCATCTTTACACGATAAGGGGCTACGTACATGCTATTAATCACGTTACGCCGTGGCGTGAGTGGTCAGAAGCACAAAGAGACTCCAACCATAAATCTTTTCTGCCTACCGTAGATTGTGGATCTGATGAAATGTGACAATAAGAATTTGAGTGAAATTGAGCCGCAAATTGCTGTTAACTAGAAAAGAGTTCACTTCAGATCAGTATACTAGGGGGCAAATAGGGGCAGAATTGAGCCAAATCCAACCTCTGTTGATATCCCAGGAATTTCGTACGCTATCAAATGCTGAAGAAAAACACTTCTCGTTTGTGCCTATTGCACTATAAAAGATAATTAAAAAAAAACAGAAACTTTTTAATTATTTGTGTTTAAAAATAACCAATTTTGCTTTGCATTGAAGAAATTGAGGTGAGTGCACGCATGACATAACACATTATTGCCAGGGAAGGAAGAGCAAATTAAGTTTAAAAACGTCTCTTCTGCAAACCTACTAAGCGTTGTGCAATAAAATATAGTAATACACTTTTGCCGCACCGAAAATAACTACCGTAAAAGAGACGATATAAAAAAACCAAGAAATGGCGACAATTTTCTCCGTCAAGCCGTATGCAAAAGGTGTCGGAATAATAGTGCAAAATAGTGCAAAATTAGTGAATAGAAAAAGAAGAAATGGAACGGGCAGAAGATTATTAGTCTCTCGAAATCGTTGTTGATATTCTGCCATTTTGCTCTGCTTTTTTATCTTAGAACTGCGTTCAGAAGTAAAAGTATATTCCGAAAACTGCTCCGGTATACATAGAAAGGTGACTTCTTTCATTTTCAGGAGATATTTCCCTAATTTGTTGGGGGATTCGAAAAAACTGGCTCAAAGTTCCCATTTGACTTTGACTTGATCTTCAAAAAGGTAAATTACATAGAGACTCGACGCCGAAATATCTACTTAAAGTTTTTTTCAATAGGTAACATGTTATAGAAGGCTTTTTAGCAATATTGGTGACATTTTTGTGGACGTTCATTTTTCTTGGCAATGAGTTGACATGTTTGGATGATTCCAACACCATGACCCAACCAGACAGCTGCATAGGATAAATGCTTAAAAACTCGTTATTTGGGTAAATTCTCTAAAGTGTTAATCACCATTTGAAGGACGATCTGATCCTTGTCGTAATCGAAATCCCAAAATAATTACAAAGAAATATTGCAGAAGGAGATTGCTCAGAGTGTAAAAAATGGGATGTTTACGATTGCACCTGACAAGTTCATTTGAATTTATTAGTCATTGACCGGCATGTGCGCACGTAAGCTTACGGAATATATTAGTCCTGTGACCTCCAAATCGGTACAATCAAGTGAAAATCTGGCTGCCTTAGTCCAACCTAATTCAAGCAATCTATTAGCGGAGGAAATAACTAATAATTCTCGTAAAACCGGTTGGAATATATGCTGTTTGCTAACCCCCATACAATTCATTTTACGTAATATGGAAGCATTTGTATCCGAAAATTCCACAAAACGATTATTTATAAACGCCCTGTAAACACCAGCCCAACCTGGCCCCACCTAGGTAGCCGGGGCCAGGTGGGGCAATCCGGGGCTACGGGTTAACTAAGTTTATGGTAAAAAACTTCTCGAAATCTATTTTTTGTCAAAACAAGTATCAATTATCAATAGTTTGCATCTTCTTCTTTGATACAACAATGAAATCGGAGGTTGAAACGGGAAAATGGGGGGCGCAAGCTGCAAAAATATTTTCCATAGGTGGGGCAAAACGGGTTGATTTGCCCCCGTCTAATTCAGTGGCACGATGGTGTAACACGGAATTTCTTGTAAAAACCCTTGGAGTTCAGGAGTTAGAATGTAGTGAGTCGTGCCTGGCCGACTATCTCGCGTCGAGGTGCACTTTCTCAGAGGCTCACCGATGCGGTTTCTCGACGTCTCGATCAGCC